ATATGATATGATGTCAGTGTGTAACTGATGTAGTGTGTAACAGTGTGTAACAGTGTGTAACAGTGTGTAACAGTGTGTAACAGTGTGTAACGCAGCTGATGAAGTGTGTCAGTGCAGCATCACCCTCAGTGTTGACCATGTCGTGTATTTCCTTGTTCCTGGGTGTCGCCTCTTTAACCGGGTCACATTTATTGTAGCAACGGCCCCTTAGCGACGGGCTCATGGAGACTGTGTGTCCGTGAGTGTGAAGGAATGCCAGGCTACACGGTCAACACACACCGAGGAGAACACACACACACCGAGGTGGAATTAAAGCTTCACATCGATGAGAGTAACTGACTCACTTCACATCGGTGATTTGTGGTGAATATGGGATGTGGCAGCTCCTCGAACACCGCGGTCACACCGCTCACACGAGAGGGGCCGAAGAGAGACGAGGTAAGAGCCGAGTCACAAGTTCAGTGTGTGCAGTTTAACACCAGTTCATTTTGTCCAACGATATCCAAGTACACGTTAACAGTAATTATTATGAATATAATTATTATTTTTACTCTTAGATTACAGTTGTTTACAATTTGTGTGTGTAGCCCTTAATCTGTGTGCCACTAAATAAAAAAATTCAACAACTATTAAAATACTATTACATTTTTTATGAGAATATTCTTTACTTAGTCTCCATGTCTGAATCTGCACCATGTATGTTAACTATTTAAAGGGCGTTCACTTAGTATTCTACTTTTTTAAAATACTTTTCATAGGCAATGACATTTTTGTTTTGTTTGTGAGTAGAAATTTTGGTTGTTAAAGAATAGTAGCTGTAAAATGTCATGTGACAATATTAAATTAGAAAAAAACACTTTCAACGAAATATTCAGGTTCTCAAAAGTAAAAAAAGAAAAGAAAGTAAAAGACCTGGAAAAAATAATATAAATTGTTTAGATTCAGAAGTTTGCCAAAATATTAATATTAAGAGGCTGATTTATTGATTGATTATGCAACCCCTTTACACCCCCCTAAAAACTCTTGAAATATTAAA